TACCAACTTTGAACAGAGCTGTTATTATGTGTGTTTGATTTGAATGTATGGAGGCTGATTTAGTTATTTGGATACATAGAATTGACTTCAATGAGAATAGATTTTACTTGATAGGTTGATTGATTAACTGTGTAAAAATCATCACCAAGTGGGGTGAGTTTTATATATATATATATATATATATATATATATATATATATATATATATATCACACATTTTTTTATATTCTGAATGTTTGAGCACTTATTTTCTGAATATTGGAACAGAGATTTAATTGTGTGGGGAATGTGTTTGACTTACCAACTTTGAACAGAGCTGTTATTATGTGTGTTTGATTTGAATGTATGGAGGCTGATTTAGTTATTTGGATACATAGAATTGACTTCAATGAGAATAGATTTTACTTGATAGGTTGATTGATTAACTGTGTAAAAATCATCACCAAGTGGGGTGAGTTTTATATATATATATATATATATATATATATATATATATATATATATATAGCTCACCGTGATTTATCATTTTTTTTAGATGTAAATAAAGAGACTTTTTTCAAAGGACGTCAATCATAGAACATGTTGATGGAGAGATATTGAATAAACAGTTTTGATGTTACACAACTCCCCATTAATCGTGGACTAAGAAACCAATTTTGAATTACAATGTTAATATCTGAGATCGAGTTCAAAGAGCATATATGTTAAAGGGTCCTTATCAGCCTCAAAATCATGAGCATTATAAATAATAGATTGTGCAGTCGGCTAGATGATCAGTGGATGAATAATAGCACAATTGTTTATTTAGAGAGATGTATTTTTGAAGATTGATAATATAATCATTATACAATGATATCAAAATATGAAAATTTGTAAGGAGCAAGTGTAATTTATAAATTATATCATTTTTAATATTATCGTAATATTGTTTATATTTTTATCATCATTAAATCCATGACAAAAAATTCAAAGTTTGGTTTCAATTAAACAAGTCCGCACTGAATAATATTCTAGGCTCCACCCCTGACTATAACACGCATGCATCCCTGTGAGATCCACAAGTTTAGACACTCATCGTACAATCACAAACCTCAATTATTTGGTAGAAAACCACCACATCTAAGCCCAAACACTACGGAATCATCAAGAGATCAAATTATACCCCTGTTTGATTCCCATTTTGGGATAAAATGTATTATGAAATAGTGATTTTTTGGAAAATATGTGGTTATGTGTGGTTGAAAATAAATTAAAAAAAAAAAAGAATTCTTGAAAAAATGGGGCTCAAACAAGAGCTATGCTAGTCAAGGCCAAAATAGCCCCTAAACAAATCCAATCTATACAAATCTTGACCTTACAAACTCTTTGTGTGAGAATTCACCCCAGAAATCTAATATCAATTCAATTCAAATTCTCTTATTGAATTGCTCAATCAATGAACATTTTCAATATTATGCCTTAAAGAGGACTCAAACATCCATGCTCTTAGTACGAGATTTTGAGCCTCGCATGTTTATTGTTTTGCCACCAAGACATCTTGAAAGTGAATATCATATTAATGTTAAAACATAGAAAATCGCATTTATTTGTTATGAAAATCGACCATATATCAATTCCCCTTTTGATTTTGAATCACCCAATACTTGAATTCTCAATGTAAATGTTACATAGCTCTCATATGACAAAATCTACAAGAGTAATAGGAGCATATGTCAACAAAAAGGATCACCCTCAGATGATCATTTCATGACTATTAAAAATTAATTGGATCAAATGGTTCTATTTCTCAATTTTTTGACATACTCCTAGGAACTAAGATTGAGAAGATTTTAAAAAATGTTACCATACATGATATTTCTATGGCTCCTTGGAGTGGGATATCAGGAAAGGATTTTTATCCAATGTGTGTGCACACGTGCGTGTGGCCACATAGTGTATTTTCGTTAGAAAATCAAAACAATGGGATTGAGTTAGTAAATCGATCTACAACCTTTCAAGGACAAGTAACATATGGAAATGATCTTATAAGTTAAGCACCGGTGACATGATACACTATTTAATTAGTGAATCATTAAATTCATGGGATCTACCATCGAAATCGGTGCTCATGAGATCATTTCCGAGCTAATATACACTGGAACTCCTTCTATAATTGATAAAAATTAATGAGAGATGAGCTAAGCAACTGATTGATTGAAACCCTGAACATCAAATCAGTGTTTATATTGCATCTAATGACTCCTAAACTGAGCCCTTCATCTTGATGGTGGAAGAGACCTCACGTGTCAAAGTTGTCAACTTGAGTTACAGCGATAAGTTGTACAATTTTCGAAACATGCTTGATCACAACCCCCCTATTTGTGTCACAACCTCTACACATAATCCACTAGAGGAGGAACTCACACATACGTAAGTAATCTCAATTTTTAAAATAAGTGATTTCATTTATGAGTATTGAAGTTTTATCTAACTTTGTAAACTGCTCGTTTTTCCTTCATCGCAAGTATACCATGATGAGCCTAAATTAGGGTGGCTCCGGATAAAATGGGAATAAGGGTATGTAGAATTTTACCTCCAATACCACCACACAACTTGAGCCTCAAACTAACTTTGCAGTATCTCGGGACCAATCTCATTTGGAAGTAAATTGGGTTTCCCCTTTTTGTGAGACTTATTTCTATAATTCTTTTTGTAAACAGTTCAATATTGTAATATTAATATTTGAACAATTATATGGTGTCGAGTGTCTGTATGAAAAATACAAAAACGAAAATAGAAATAGTGCTGGAATTGTATAAATAAAATAATGAAATGAAACATTACAATAAACGGGGTAATGATAAAATTAGAGGAAATGGTTGTTGAGGTAGTAGCGGTATTAAAAGGAATCGAGGCCTTTGTTGCATACAGTTTAATTAAAATAGATTCGCCTTTCACTGTGGTGTAAAAAGGACTTATGGCGTCTGTCTTCCAGTATCCAACGGTTAAAAGTAACTCACTAGTACATCGTCATTACTTTAAGCGAACTAAGAATGTTCACAATTCTGTCACCAAGCTAGAATAAATAACTAAATTATTTAAGTTACTAAGAACTAAGTCTTGAAACAAAGAGAAGATAGAAACTTAGAGTGAAGAAATAACTCTCAAATTTTAGGTTTGAAGAATAAGGAAGAGAACACCTCCTTGTATAGTCCTAGGACGAGTAAGTTTTCAAATTCCTATTTAATTTTGTATTTAATACAAATAATGTTACAATAATCATGATTGAATTTGTAACCACCAATCGGTTATGGAATTGAACCAATTCAAATACAAAGTAACTATAGAAGTGACTAGACTTGAAACCTATGAATTGTTCTTACAATTTCATTCAACTTGAATGTATTTTTTTAAATTTATTAACTTTAACATATTGCTTTATTATATTAATTTAATATATTATTTTCCAACAGTGTCAACTTCGTTAGCTTTATATGTGCTGTTTACAGATGAAACCGTGCGAGTCAAAAATTCCAGACTTCCAAGCTCGGGGAGTTCAAGAAGCTGACAATAAAATATAGTATTTTTGTTGAATTAATTCATTCGAGATTCGAGAATAGAAGCTACATCAATATAAAAATCATATATTTAACGTATTAATATTTTCCAACTATTATTTTATGAATTAATTATTATTAACTAAGATGCACACTCACATGGAGATGATCGCATTGCAGCATGGATTAAGGATTTATTCAATTCAAGAACCAGAATTTGTCTTTGCCTTCTTCTGTGGTATTATTTTCTTTATTCATCAATTTCAAGTCTCTTTCAATAAAATATGGAAAAGTGTAATTATCCTGTTTACAATTGTTTATATGGAAACTGATAGGTATCGTAAAATTTAAAATAATGAATGTAAGAAGAGAATCACTTGAATGGTTTACAAAGTATTCGTGCAATTCGCAAACCCAACTGCTAAACTTACAATTTTCAAATTGAGATTATTGTCTCAGTGCCTTGATGGCCGGAAATTTGGCTATTAGAATTTGGCCTACGATTTTAAAAGAGATCGTTAAATACAATACAAAAGCAATAAATTTCATGCGGTCCAGGCCTCATGTTGGTTGTCACGCATAAGTCTCTAATTGTTTAAATTGTTAGATAAAGTTGTATAATATTTAAATTACTAGTGATTCTAAGAAGGATTACTCAGACTAATCATACAAATTCAAGATAAATACTAAAATTTGACCCCAAAAAAACCCTACTTATCTGTTGAAGTGAAGTCAAGAATTCAAAATCTTCTCTTTCCCTAGATGTATCTTCTTAATACTGGGCCATAATCCTGCACAATTAATTTTTCTTTATATAATAATAGAATAAAGTATTAAGCAGTCCACGCATCCTTTTCGTGTAATGAATAATAATTTGAATGTAACGTGAAGATATGAACATGACCAATATTTATGTATTCTAGACGTGAATTAGGGATAAAGAAAAGTATGGAAAAAGTCTATAAGAAAAGGACAAGAAGACTATCAAAAATCTAACTTACATATATAATTCTCTCCTTAATTACTCGTAATTATACTGTTTTCTCTAATACTCCTAGAATTTTACTTTTAATTAAATTGAATGTATATATAAAAAATTCCTTTAGTGCCACGTAATTCAAATTTCATAATTTATATGGAATCTTGTATTGTTATTTAAAAAGTCAACTTTAGCCCAAGATTTTATGTAATGATTATTGTTTACATATTTAAGTGTTATGAGATTTACGCTTAACGTGCCATGCCCCTAACATCAAAGCTTCAAATACAAGTCCATATTGATTATTCTTTTTATATCTGAGTAATGTGGGTGTCGTTTTATATTACCCTTAACAAAATATAAAATTACGCATGTATGTATGTGTGTGTGTTATGTATATCTCGTGTCATAAGTAACTTTTGTGGATATATAATTAAAACTTAAAACTGAGAAAAGAAGAGGGATATCTAATAAGGGACATTTCTTAACTAATGTGGAGAGTGACTAAGCAGAAAAGAAAGAAAAGAAGGCAAGTAGTCAAGGGTTTGGAGAAGTATTAATGGCAAAGATTGTGCGGTTGCAGAGGCAGATGCTTATATTCAAGTAGCTGTTCCTGTATAGGTGCAATAAAGGAGGAGGGTGAGAGTGTAGTGTTAAAGAAATTGGTAGGTGTATCAAATTTATGATGCTTGAGATATACATTTCCATTTCTACTTCTCTCTTCTCTTGAATCTTCAATTTCAGTAGTGTCACTGTTAGATATAAATCCCATGCAGGCAATCATGATATTGAATTTGGGATTGTGTGCTCCGTTTAATTGTCCTGCACCCACCTCCCCTTAAGTGTTCTTCCACATTATTTGTGTGTATCAGTGAGAGAGAGAGAGAGAGTAGGGTTTGTCAAGAATTTATTAGAAGTCATTTTCTTGATTTCTTTCTTGTTGGGCTGTTTTGGGTCTTCAAGAGGTGTATCTGGCTACTGGTTACTCTTTTTCTTTCCTAATAATGGTGGGGTTGTAAATTGAAACGCTATTTTTCATTCTTGGCACTGAATGAAATGGGCAGAATGAAAGGGTTTTCATCCTCTATTTTGCCTCTTCTTGTGCCATTAATCCTTCTAATTTTCTGCGAAGAATCTTCCGCCCAATATTCGACTTTGAATTACACAAAATATAGAGAAGTTAGTAGCTTGAGACTTGCTAGGATTCAGAAGCATTTGGACAAGATTAACAAGCCTCCTGTCTTCACTATTCAAGTATGTATAATTCTCGATCGAAATAATCTCTTTTGTACAATTTGTGTATTTGTTATTGATTGTGGTTGATTTTGTTTAGAGCCCAGATGGAGATTTCATTGATTGTGTTCATAAAAGAAAACAACCAGCTTTGGATCACCCTCTTCTCAAGAATCACAGGATCCAGGTACAATAAAGAGTTCAAATTATGTACACACACACTCTCTCTCTCTCTCTCACGCACGCACACTTTTATTTGAGCAAACGTAAAGCGAAAGAACTTTCTGGTTCATTGGTTTTATTAGTTTTTCAACTACCAACCACCCCACATAATTTTTTCATCTCTCTCTAGAGCACAACAATAATATTTATTGTTAATTATATTGATTAATGCTAATTCGATTTGTACTATGTGTAGAAATTTATAACTTATTATTTAAATTTACAGAGAGTTCCACCAGAATTGCCAAAGATGATAAAAACAGATGCAGTGAGGGAGAGAAATAGCAGTGAAAGTGAGAGATTGAGAGGTGGAATTGCTTGGCAAATGTGGCATCAAAAAGGGCAGAGATGTCCAAAAGGTACTGTCCCTATTAGGCGAAGCACAGTGCATGATGTTCTTAGGGCTAAATCATTGTATGACTTTGGCAAGAAACGAAGCAAAATACCGCTTGCTAGAAAGGTTGATGCACCTGATGTTCAGACTGGCAATGGCCATGAGGTACTGCTCTCTTCATATATACCCATTCTGGAAATGTATGTATACTTGTACATGTGTGTATGTGCACGTCTAAAACTATGATGCATCGAAAAAAACACGTGTCTCGTCGAATACGTTGACACTCGATTTTTAAAAAAAATATTAACATGAGATATTGCCTATACACTTTGATTAAAGAATTCATTTATACAATGTAAATTTAAGTTTATACTTATTACTTGGACTCATCCTCAATGTTGTTTAGGCTCTCCTTTGAATTAAAAATACTAAATATATAATATTTTTTATAACGAATGAAAAATAATCAAGGTAGAGTGTTCTAGTAGAATTGATATCCAACATATGTTGGACACGAATATGTCATCCTAATTGAAGTGCCCATGTAACATTGATTGAAAATCTACTAGTAATATAAAAAGACTTTTGTAACATACCATGCAAAATAGAAAATAAAATGTTTTAAATTTTGATAATATAGAAAGAATTTTTTTGTAGCTAGATTATTCAGTATAAAAATGTAGAATTGATAGAAACGATCGAGCGTTGGGAGGAAATAGAAAAAAATATGGTTTTACATATTGATAACGTAGAAAGACTTGTGTAGCTTACTCTTCTATGGTCGTTCAGAATGTTTAGAGTAAAGATGTATAACCGTTAGAATTGTATCTTGGGATGTAAAAGGAAAAATATATATGATTTTACGCTTTGATAAATTAGAAAGACTTGTGTAACTTACTCTACCACAATGGATCGAAAGTAGAAGACGTAAAAATGAGTCTTACCGCGAGAGAAGAAAATATTTTAATTTTAAAAACAGTGGGGTGTGAGGATAAATTATGTTCCTACTAGGAATTAAAATTTAGATTCTTATCAAAGTTTTAACAATTAATTTTAATTACATATTTTACATTATCAACAATTTTTTAATCACATATTTCATCAACTTTCATTAAAATCTGCTAAAAATATATTATTTTCAATACCGCAAAAGGGATATATATTACTATAAATTAAGTGAAGCTAGGAGGAAAATGATCAAGGGCAAATATTGTAACAACTATTTAGGATATAAAATAAGATAAATTAATTAAATGACTAGAAATTGAACTCCCTTTGGTTTTTTCAAAATAATATTCTGTGGCCTAGTTCACCAGTTAACTCCAAAAGTCAAACATATAGATATTAATATTTAGGGCATAGAGAAAATTTGGTAAACTTGTTTTGTTTTAATTATGTATAATATTAAATTTATAAGTTTGATTACTTTATTATTATGTAAGAAAAATTACTGAACAAGTTGCATCTATAAACAAATATTGTATCGAGACTACTAATTTGTGATTATATAATTTTAAATAGTTAATAAGTCGATTTATTTATCGAAAATATATTTAGTCGACAAATTAATGACAACATGAAATAGAAATTATGAATATTGAACGTTAAATATACGAAGTAGAGAAGAAGAATTTATGTAATTTGCTTATTCTAGATCTATTGTTCTTTTAAAAATATTGCGTTATGGGATGTATTCAATTTTCAATAACAAATGACAATTATTATTATTTTTTTGGGTTGTATATTTGAATTAAAAGCATGCGATAGCATACACGACATCGTCACAAGAGATGTACGGGGCAAAAGCGACGATTAACGTATGGAATCCATCAATCGAGGTGGTGAATGAGTTCAGCCTCTCCCAAATATGGGTTCTATCTGGATCATTTGATGGGTCGGATCTCAACAGCATTGAAGCTGGTTGGCAGGTACACTTTTTAATTTTCCTTCACACACAATCACAACACATCCATATTAAGTTTATATGAAAAATTTTGTACTTGAAAAAAAAATAGAAATTTATTTATATGAATTATGACAAATATATTATAAAAGTAACACTATTTTTAATTCTTAAAATGATTTTCATGTTATGGGTCATTAAATAATGAGATCAATAAAGTGAGTCTCACATTTACATATTTAATTGACTTTATCATTTCACTCATCATCACATTCCACATGTACATGTGGATGATTCCAATATTCATGAAGTTGAATTTCTAAAGTTTTGATGGTTGTACTAGTCAGGTTAGTCCGGAGCTCTATGGTGACAGTAGGCCAAGATTATTTACTTATTGGACGGTCAGTTCTATCTATTTTCAACAATTTTCAGTATTTTTTCTTTTTGAAATTTGAATGACAAATCTTTGCTTTAACACTTTAGTTCTCTTCACTACATAAAATATATGAAGAATTTAATAAACTATTTGCAAAAATAAAAATGCTAATGAATAAAACATCTATAATAGGCAATATTCGGGTATGTTTGACTAGGAGTGATAGTCTAGACATATTTTTAGTTGACATTATTGTCAAATAAATAAATAAATAAATACATAATAAAAAATTAATAAATTGTTTCTAACACAACTTGCTTATAGGTTAACTTTTAAGCTTAGCATAACATGTTGTCAATATGTAACTAGAGACAAGTAGGCACCAAGATCAAGATAGATAAAACGATTAGAGTGAAATCTAAACTCGTGCTAATCTATTATTTTATTTTATTTAATTGTGCATGGTTGACTATGTCCCTATTTGGCTTAATTGAAAATTTATGTCAAAATCAATAATTAATTTTTTATTACATATTTTATAGGCTTTGAAAATTTTCAATCGTACATTCTATTAACTTTTATCAAAATTTACTAAAAACCAAAATTTTATCTAAACCAATCTTCATCTAGTGCTTCAAAGTCGGAGGGGGAAAAAAATAACTCATGTTGGACTATTAGGAAATATTAATGCTATCTAGCACTAGTGATGCTAAAATACCAATTTAGAAGTTTAGATGACTATATTTTAGAGATTCAATTAAATGAGTAATATGACTCTGCATTTAAATGAATATATTAACGAGTAATATGACTCTGCATTTAAATAAAATATTATTTAATGTGTCACGTAATTGTTGCCTAAATGAATACTTACCGTCAGTGATAATGAATAATATTAGTCATTAGAAAATGCTCAAATTACTTAAAGTCATCTTAATTTGCCTAGGGCAAAGGAAGATTAGTCGTCATCTTGAAAATGGGGAAGATGGTCCAAATGCACATGAAATTTTTTAGCTGGAAAGAGGCTGGAGCACACTATTTTAATTAATCTTGAAAGATGACAACTCCTGTTTACACTGCAATTAATTAATTGCATGGTGCTCCACATATATTCATGGTTTTCAACTAATTATTTCTGCAATTAATATTTGCATGTGGCATGGGGAATCTTGGAATTTAGGAAATTCAATAACTTGTGGCTGCATTTAAGTGTACCCTTTTTTCCTTAGAAATTCTAACCTGTAATGAAGGATGATAGGTTTGGCCTGATTTTTTATTTTGATTTTGATTTTGATTTTGTTTCTGCTTTTACTTTTATTTTTTGTAAAAAAAAATTAAAAATAAAAAATAAAAAATTAGGAAATTATCTTTATTTTTATTTGAAAACTAATTTTTGAAAAAATTTCCTATTTCGAAAATTCTTTGAGAGGAAATAAAATTGGATTAACTTTCTCTAAAATCTATTTTAACTAATAGAAGCATTTTCATAAAATGTATTAAACGAATTCAATAACAGCGTTTTAGCTTCAAAAATTCTTTTCGACTTTTCAAAGGTGGTAAGTATGAACACTTAGCTAGTTGGGTAGTAGTAGTAATCGTCAAAAGAAAGAGTAATAGCAAAACTAATCTGGTCGGTAGTAGATTTTAATGATCTTATTATGTTAAGTGTTCATTTGACATGGCTTTTGATTTCGATTTCCGTAGAAGAGTTTTTAAAGAAAATTATCTTTATTTTTTTTTAGAAACTAATTTTTAAAAGAGCCAGAGTGCTTTTCGGAGAAGTTGTGTTGGACTGGTTTCATTTAGAAAACTTTTCTAACCGAAGGAAATACTTTCTTAAAATTTGTCAAACGAGTCCAAAATCAATTTTTGGATCTCAAAAATTCCTTCTAATTTTTCTAAAAGTCATACCAAATAGATCCTAAATCTTTCAATAGGATATTCCTGTCATTGAGCTTTTTCAATTCAACAGGATATGAAATTTTTATTATTTTAAAAATAAGAAAATAATAATGATAGGCTTAAACTAAAACTGACATTTAGTTACAGAAATTCGATTTTTTTTTTTATCAAAATAATAATAAAGGTTAATTTTCAATCAAATGAATTTCTTTATTCTTCTTTTCCTTCTCTTTGTCTATAACTTGTAGAGTGATGCATATCAAGCAACAGGATGCTACAACCTTCTATGCTCCGGATTCGTGCAAACGAACAGTCGCGTTGCCATCGGAGCTGCCATTCACCCGGTGTCATTGCTAAATGGAAATCAATACGACATCACCATACTCATATGGAAGGTCTTTAAAATCCAAACTTTTACCATACTTCGAAGCATAAAAATTATTCAAAAAATTAATAATTTTTTTTTTCAGGATCCAAAATTGGGAAATTGGTGGATGGGCTTCGGCGACAATACTTTAGTGGGCTATTGGCCCACCGAGCTCTTCACGCACCTAGCGGACCGGGCCACCATGGTCGAGTGGGGCGGGGAGATAGTTAATTCTCGGCCCAATAATGAACATACGTCAACCCAAATGGGCTCGGGCCATTTTGCCGAAGATGGGTTTGGGAAAGCTAGCTATATTCGGAACCTCGAGATTGTGGACTCGGACAACAGCCTGAGCTCGGCCCAAGATATATCAACCTTGGCTGAGAATACAAATTGCTACAATATCCAGAGCTCCTCCAACAGCCTATGGGGGACGCATTTTTACTATGGTGGGCCTGGGAAAAGCCCAAAGTGTCCATGAAAAAAAAAAAAAGAAAAAAAAAACTTCGACTGTCAAATTATTCCTTTATAATTCTCAAAAATGTAGAATTATGCTATTTCCAACCATGTTTCTGCTAGTTCCACAGTGTCTCAAAGTTTTGTCTAGTAGGTGAGAAATGAATGTTTGTATTAATAAGATCAAAAGCATCAAACAGGGTGGGGAAATAGCAATATTTGAAATGTATATTACTAGTCCATAATATATTTTTGTTTGCATTTATTAGTTAAGCAATTGAGAACTTTGTGCAAAGAGATTTAAAGCTTGTTTGTCAAAAGATTTTCTTTAAATTTTTTTCTCAAAATCATTTTCAATCACACATCCTATGGAATCCGCAACTTTTTTTTCACTTTCTAACCACACAATATCCCAAAATAATAATAATAATAATAATAATAATAATAATAATAATAATAATAATAATAATAATAATAATTCCCTAGAAAAAAATATTATATAAAAATTAAGTTATTAAAAGAATTAAATGATTAAAATCAATTTTTATTTATTTATTTATTTATTACAACTGAAAAATTAATTAATTCTAGTCTATTGTACATGTAGAACACTTTTTGTTTTGTTTTTTCAAAAGTCAAAGCAAAATCTCGTTGCAAAAGATCATCGTTGATCAAAAGACGCAATGGAAAGCAAAATATACGGGACCCAGTTCAATATAATAAAGGAATCAGGATAAACACCCATTGATTGTGGAGGAAGAACCAATGACCAGATTACAAGCAAAAAAGGTCAAGGAAGTTATGGGATTACTTGCTCAAACTATAGTAGACGAAATATCGATCAAACAAGCAAAGGGACAAGTTTCATGTTGAACTCGGAAATGGAAACAAAATGGGTGAACATATTTCAAACAAATGAAGAAGAAGCTATTCAAGACAACTATGCAACAATGGAGTGCTACGGGAGGTGCAGCCGCATATCCCTATACCAAGAATCAAATATGGCATTTTGGATGAACTATGTAACCACATGTCCATACACTATGCGATCGCATAGCATAAATTGGCGCTTAATTTTTCAATTTTTGGAAAGAATCCTAAGTTAAAATTCTAATTTTATGGTAATTATTGATATTTGGACTATTATTTCCTTTTTTAAGTATGTTTTATGGATTCCCTTTAAATAGGATCTGATTATTTCATTGCAAAAACATACTCAATTATTAAGATATTATTGCAAAGCATATTGCTTTCAATTTGTTCTTCATCGAACTAAACTTGAACTTATCAAGAATTGATTTCTTGTGACATTCAACAATTTAAATGAGGTTCATAGGTTTCGTGATCACGGGGTCAAGATATTGATTTCAATTATCTTGATTCTTTGGTTCAATAATTTAATGAGTCGAGTTTTCCAACATTGATGCTTGGTTCTCTAAGGTTTGATCTAATCGATCATGAATTTCATAGCTACAATTGCTACGTGAATTCTCATCAGTTGGTATCATAGCTTAGATTCCAAAAATCAAGGTTATTTCTTTACTTTTTTTTGTTTGAATCTTCATCTTAATTCTTCATGAAATTAGTGCTCAAATCAATTCCTTTTCGATTTTTGGGTTCTTTGTCGAATTCTTGAGCATTTAGCAATAAAAATTATATCGAAAATTTTAGAAAAAAATAGAGCAATTCCTACAAAAAGGCAATTTCAAAGTCAAAAGTGTTCAATTCGGATTCAAGAAACTCTTTCTTGAATTTTTTTTCCTAGTCTTTCCATTCAATGTTTCAAATCCCAACTTTATTGAATCGTTCTAGAGTCAATTTTCTAACTCAACTCTTTGTTTGAACTTCACAAGGGTTAACTTTTTATTGAGATCAAATTAGTTCTTTGAAGTGCTTGCATTAACTTTTTATTAAAATCGAATTAGTTCTTTGAAGCACTTACAATGAAGCATTGAGTGGAAAAAGACAAAGCAGTGAGACTAATAGAGGAAAGAGCCAAATTAAGTGATACACAAGTATAAACATGTGAGGCAAATATTATTCTAGTTTTAGTATAACAGAGACGATTTTACTTCAAGCGGGAAGAATAATCAAGTCATCATTACGAAGGAGATGATACGACAGTTTGAAAGGTTGTTTGAGGATACGAGATATAGGATGGATAGGCAAGAAGATTGGATGAAGAGGTAAGACGCATTGTTTGTTAATTTACATAGAGAACAACCTAGAGAAGCTATTAACTGAAGGAGCCAAGGTAGGCTCTCTTAGTGCGGATATTAGTGATGAAAATGAAAAAGTGGAATTAATGATCTTACATTAGTGAAGGATGAAATAGGAAAGATGAGGAAGAGAGAAGATATGCATGATAAAAGGGTTAGAGATTATATTGGAGAGGAAGTTGATAAAAATATGGGCGATATTAAAATGACAATTTCTTTATTTAACAAAATGAGCGATCTAGGGGTATATTTGGAGTAGGAGAAAAAGATAGAGCTTATATTTGATTGCCATAGCTACTTGGAGGTGAAAAAGTAAAATTTGTTGTCTTTGAGTTTACTTATTATGCAATCATTTGGTGGGATCAAATAGTAACATCTAGAAGGAAGAATCGTGAGAGGTCTATTAAGACATGGGGGGAATTAAAGGATATCATAAGGAAAAGGTTCGTTCCTAATCATTACTAAAGATATCTTTATCAAAAGTTATAAAGCCTTTATCAAGGATCTAGGAGTGTGGATGATCATCATAAGGAGATGGAGATTGCAAAGACTAGAGCTAATGTTGAGAATGATTGGAGGCCACCATGGCCCAATTTTTAAATGATTTGTATAGGAAGATAGATAATGTGGCGGAATCACAACATTATGTGAAGTTGGAGGATATGTTGCATGTAGCTATGAAGGTAGAGAGGCAGCTAAAGAGGGAGAGGATAGCTAGATATCCATTAGGTCTAATCTTGGGAGAGGATAGCTAGATATCCATTAGGTCTAATCTTTCTTGGAAATCGAAGTGTGATAACAATAGAGGTGATGAGCTGTTTTAAATAATAAAACTGAGCCATCGAAGGGAAGAGGGGAAGTTGCCAATGCAGATTTCCTACCTTTTAGGGATTAGGATATCAAATACTTTAGGAGCTTGAGATCGGGATACATTGCTTCTCAATATCCAAACAATAGGGTGATGATCTTGCGTAATAAAGGAAAAATGGTGAGTGATAGTAAGGGCGATTATGATGACATGCTGAAGTTGGAAAGGATGCTAGTGATGGTGAGAAAACAGAGTACGCAGTAGGAAAGCTATTGATAACAAGGCAGGCTCTTAGTATTCAAATCAAAGTGGATGACTTTGAACAAAGAGAAAACATATTTCATATGAGATACCTTGACAATATGGTATGCCGTATGATTATTGAAGGGGTAATTATACCAATGTGGCTAGCACAATACTTGTTGAGAAATTTGGGTTAACTATGCTACAATATTCTAGGCATTGTAAATTGTAATGGTTGAATGAATCTAAAGAGGTTATGATGAATAGACAAGTGTTGGCGAGTTTCTCAATTGGGAGGTATCATGATGAAGTGATGTGTGATATAGTTCCTATGCATGTCGAGGATATTTTGTTGGGGAAGCCATGACAATATGATAGAAAAGTGATGCATGATGGGTACAAAAATAGGTACAGTTTTCCGAAAGACGGGAAATCTATTTATTTTGCGCTATTAACACCAAAAAAAGTTTATGAAGATAAAATTAAATTGAAAAGTGAGAAAGAGAGGGTGAGATTGAGATTGATCTTTCACAACAAAAGAGCAAGGTAGAAAATATTGAGGTAACTAATTGTGAGAAAAAAGAATAGAGCCACAAGAAAGAAAAGAAAAAGAATCTGAGATAAGAAAAAAGTCGAAAATTAATTTCTTTACAAAAGAGAGTAAGTTGAAGAGTGCAGTAGTAGAAAACCAACCCATGGTCTTGTTGGTTAATAAAGAATCACTCCCCAACTTAATGAATCTAGCACCCCTCCCTAGTTTTACTAGTTCTTTGTTACAGAAATTTGAAGACTTATTTCTGAAAGATATGCCTAGTAGGCTACCATCCGTTCGAGACATTGAGTATCAAACTGACTTCATACTTGGAGTTGCCATTCCAAACAAGTTGGCTTAAAGGAGTAATCCAGATGAGACAAATGAACTTCGAAGGCAAGGAGAATAATTGATGAGCAAGGGGTATGTAAAGGAAAGTATTAATCCATGTGCCATACTAGTGCTACTTGTGCTGAAGAAATATGGAGCCAGGAAGATGTACACAAACTATTGGAAAATCAACAATATAATGGTAAAATATCGTTACCTGGGCCTAGGTTAGATTAAATGTTAGATGAATTGTATGGATCATGCATTTTTAGTAAAATAGATTTTCAAAGTGGATATCATCAAATTAGGATTAGAGAGTGAGATGAGTGGAAAATTGCTCTTAAGACTAAGTATGGTTTATATGAGTGATTAGTCATGTCATTTGGACTTACTAATCCACTTATTACTTTTATGAGATTAATGAATCATGTCTTGCATGTATTTATAGGTAAATTCGTAGTAGTTTACTTCAATAATAACTTCGTACATAATAAGGATTTAAATGAGCATATATGACATTTAAAATGTGTGTTTATGGTCTTAAGTCAAAAACAACTTTATGCTAACTTTACGAAGTGTATTTTTGCATAAAAATGTTTTTCTTGGTTATATTGTTAGTTCTAAAGTGATTGAAGTGGATGAGGAGCAAATCAAAACCATTAAAGAGTGGCAAACACCGAAAAGCTTAACCGATGTAAGAAGTTTTCATAATTTGGCTAGCTTCTATATGCGTTTTATTAGAGACTTTAGCACAATTGTCACACCACTCACAAAGATTATTAATAAAAGTGTAGGATTTCATTCGGGCATTGAACAAGAACATGTTTTTAACACTACTAAGGATAGATTGTGTACAACATCGATTTTATCACTACCTAACTTTAACAATACTTTTAAGATTGAATGTAATGTCTCAGGAATAGGTATCCGAGCTGTTTTGATGCAAGAACGAAGGTCACTAGCTTACTTTAGTGACAAGCTAAGTGGAGCAACTCTCAACTATCCTATATATGACAAAGAGTTGTATGTAGAGATGTCAATTGATTGGATTTAGATCCGACTCCGATGAAATTAATGGGAGATGGATTTAGGGTCTTCGTTTGACAACCCGATCAAGATCTGAATCCAATTATTGGTTAACTAAATAAAGCA